AAAGACCTGAAATCACCAGAAAAAGACCTGAAGTCACCAGAAAAAGACCTGAAATCACCAGAAAAAGACCTGAAGTCACCAGAAAAAGACCTGAAGTCACCAGAAAAAGACCTGAAATCACCAGAAAAAGACCTGAAGTCACCAGAAAAAGACCTGAAGTCACCTCGAGTCGGAGTGAAATCACCACAAAGACACAAGAAACTGATTCAGTGGCGCAAAGTCACCACGAACGGCCACAAAATGACTGCAGCACGACGTGACATCTCTAAACGTGTCCCGTCCAGGAGGCGCTGGTTCAGGTGTGACTCCTCGGCCCAGGTAGCTCCGCCCAGGTGAGACTCACCTGTTTGACTTTGCTCAGCTCCTCCTCCATCTGATGGTGAACTCGCTGAGACTCCACCAGCTGCTCCTGCAGACGGAAAACACAGAACCACCATAAAAAGACAAAAAAGACAGACGGTCACAAAGCCCTCGTGTTCAGAGACACACAGACGTGACTCACATCTGCTTCATCACTCTGAAGCTGCTGAACTCTGACCTGGACCTGTCTGAACCAGGTGTGTTTACCTGCAGCCTCTTGATCTCCCTCAGAGCCTCGATGTGCTCCTTCCTCAGCCTCTCCATCTCCTCCAGGTCCTCCGAGTCCGACAGGGACGGCTGCAAGCGACGGCAACAGGTCCACAGTCAGCACAAGCCCGTAAAAAAGCAGCGCAAACAGATGCACAATCAGCACAAACACACAAAAAATCAGCAGAAAAAGATTCAAAATAAAAAAATAAAAAATAAAAGTCAACACAAAAAAATGCAAATGTTCCCCTAAAAGACCTGACATGACTTCAGAAATGTGCAGAACGTCTACATGAAGATGGGAACTGCTCATAAAAAATGTAAAATCAGCACAACGACGTCGTCAGACACCATGAACACAGAAATCCAAAATCACAATGAAAAGACGCAGAATCAGCAGGAAACCAGAAGTGAAACCAGCATCAGGGTTTAAAACCAGGAAGTGGATCAGATGTGAAGCTGGATCAGGATCCGTACGGATGTAAACAGTGAATCCAGAACATTTTCACTAACATGCAGCAGAACTTCCCTCTGAACCAGAACCAGGTGTGAATTCTGCAGTAAAAGTACCTCGATGCTCTCGTCTCTGATCTCTGAGTGATTATTGATTATTGATCAGGTTCTGTGTCACACCAGCACCGAGGCAATCTTTAGCCTCGGCTGATTGGACAGCTCAGGGCCCCGCCCCCTCAGAGGATTAGGTTCTCCTCAGAGTTCTGGTGTCGGTCCGGTTCTACTGAACTATCACGACTCAGAGGAACCAACAGAACCAACAGAACCTCATGATCCGGGTTTAACGGTCAGAACCACATCAGCAGCATCAACCTGGACCGGAACATGTGAGGATCTAAGCCCTGGACCAGAACATGTGAGGATCTAAGCCCTGGACCAGAACATCTGAGGATCTAAGCCCTGGACCAGAACATCTGAGGATCTAAACCCTGGACCAGAACATGTGAGGATCTAAGCCCTGGACCGGAACATGTGAGGATCTAAGCCCTGGACC